GTGTAAGACACCAGCCGAGCCGAGCCGAGCCGTGCCGAGCCGAGCCGAGTTTTAGTAATTGCTAATTTTCTCGCCAAAACTTTCACCGTCTCGTAACGGGCCCAGACTTGTGTGAGGGTTGGTACCATGGTTGTGGGGTGGCACTTGGCCGGGCAACCCACTAGCAGAATCTTGGCGCTGGAACTTGCTTGGTTGCCGAGTTGAAATACCTGAACAGACGAACACACACACACACACACACAAACATATATACACACTCACAAACATACACACACACACACACACACACACAAACATAAACACACAGGGTCGTTGCAATATGCGTTTTTGCAATTTGCATACAGGCAAAAACCCATAAAAAGGAGTTTGAACACGTGACAAAAATGAGATTTAAGAGCATGAAATTTGTTCATTCGAGAAAATCTGTCGAGTTCTTCAGTAGTGCACAAATCTGATCATCTACTGCCTGCAGGGCATTTTGCTCAAAGCCCAATATTTTTTGAATGCAAATTTATGTAACCACAGAACAGGGATATAAATGCGTTTTGTGAGCCAGTTAGCTCATTTACACAGTCAAAGATGGGGTATGGATGGTTAATCGGTTACATGTTGCTTGCCGCAACGATGACTTTCTCCATGGTTTTGGCGAGTCGTGCCCGGCAGTTCATCAAGAAAGTTCTCTCCGACATCTCGATAACAGAGCAAGAGCAACAGCCGCAACCAAGTCAGTCCACTACTACAGCCGCCGGCGCGAGCTCAAATGCAAGCTCAAGTGCGAGCTCAAGTGCGAGCTCAAGTGCGAGCTCAAGTGCAAGCTCAAGTACAAGTGATGCGGTAAAAGAATCAACAAGGCATAGCTCAAGTAGGCGGATGAGATTTCGCAAAATGCAAAGGAAACTGAAGAAAGGGAACGATGAAGACGAGAAAACCGAATTTGAGAAGGTCCGTTCAATAAAATGCTCTCCGCATCTTGCTACTTTTTCTCACTCATAATTTGATTTTGATAATAATTAAGCATCGCCATGAGCACATCCTAACTGTGCCAGATTCCTTCTTCATGGTTTGTTTGTTCCAACCGTCACCTGCCGTCTTCATTGTAGGCGCTCATCCATTCTTAGAAGACCAACTAAATGATTTACTCGTCTCCTTTCAGAAGAGAGCCAAATTCAATTTCACGATACATTTTTCCAAAGAAATATGAAATGTGCACAACAGGCTTCTTTTTTAGACGTAAGATATGGTACACTATTTGTAAGCACATTCCCAGAATGGTCGGTGAAGTCGACTCTCGGACTTGTTACAAATCTTTCATGGTTACCTAAAAAAATCAGGGTTAAAGTTAACTGGATTTGTTTCTAGGTAGCTGTACCAACACGTCCTGCGCGAAGTAAGCTGCGGAGGAAAAGTGCATTGAAATGGAAGGATGAAAGCGAACATGCTGAAAAACATCGCGAATCAAGCGATAATAGGGTAATGGTACTTAATAGGTTCTGATGATACTACACAAGGAAAACATAATTGCGCTTTAAGCAGCAGAGTTTCATACATCGTCACGAAATTGTTGTGATTCTACCAAAAAAAAGTGTGTGCACCCTAAAGCAAAAATTTTCCAAATTGACTATGTATTTTTTCTTAGCGGTAATGTAAGTATATTTAAGTTAATTAGAACTAGTAAGGATTGCAGAAACTAACATAGGTTTATATCTTTTTGAGTTGCTATTTAAAAACTTCGACACAATCCTTCCTGCGGGCTTGCCGTGACGGGAAAGAGTAAAGGGGGCAAAAATTTTGATGAGCATGGAACTTTTAGCCCTTCCGCCGTACTAACTTTTGGTTTCAGTTTTTTACTGCACCGATTAGTAATTTCATGGACTTTTTTATTCAGAAGAAAAAAAAACGCAAAAAGAAGCACGGCCATAAAAAGCGAAAAGGGGCGAAAAAGAAAAGGATTCAGAAAGGCAATTTCGAGAAGGCCGAAGCAGAGCATCCAGGCAGTCCACAAAATTCAGATAAATTATTCCGTGCTGTGCGAAGAACGGATCATTCCTCAAGTTCCTCATCTGCTGCTGGTGGAGAGAGCGCAGAAGTGTCCAGGAAAACGGAAAAGGAGGAAACCTCTCCAACATCGCCACCACCGTCTTCGAAAGCGGGGATTGCCACAAATCGTGCGAGCGATATCAATGAGGATAGCAGTGCATCCTCAGATCAAATGTCTTCAGCCAGTGAGGAGTCATCTTCAGCTTCCACAGCTGGCAAAGAAGCTGGAACTGAATCAGAATATGAGTCAGCGCCGGATTCGGAAGCTGTCATGGAGCAGTCGATAAAGTAGCATAATCTGATTTTTATGCGTTTTTTGCAGCTATGCAATGCGACAAACGCATATTGACGAAAGGTTGTCTGTGTGTGTTTGTGTGTGTGTCTGCGCGTTCGCTGCGAGTCTGTACTGATTTTTCATCTCGAGACCCACAAAAGTTACAGGGCTGAAACTTTGGGGACTTAATGTACACGCACGTACGGACCCCCATTCCCAAAATGGGCGGTTTTTCCCGCGTGGTACCCACGTAAGAGCCCGCCAGAGTTTTATACGGGTAAGCTACTAACTCGCGAACTGGAAAAGCTAGAGAGCTGAAATTTTATGAAAATGTTCCCCGTCCAAGTAGGTACTAATCAGCTCAAAACCAAACCCCGTGTAAGCGTGGTACCCGCGTACGAGTCCGCCAAAATTTTTTCACGGTTAAGTTGATAACTCGCGAACCAGAAAAGCCAGAGAGCTGAAATTTTATGGAAATGTCTCCCGCCCAAGTAGGTAGCAATGAGCTCAAACTCAACCCCCGGGTAAGTGTGGTACCCGGTTACAGGCCCGCCAAAATTCTTCCTGCGCAAATTCATAACTGGGGTTCTGAGATGCTAGAAAGCTCAAATTTTAAGGGAATGTTCTCCGTCCAAGTAGGTGCTAATGAGCTCAAATCCAACCCCGGGTAAGCATCGTACCCGCGTACGGGCTCGTGAAAAATTTTTTCCAGTAAATTGCTAACTCAGGGGCCAGGAAAGCTAGAAAGCTGAAATTTTAAGAGGTTGTTTCCTACCAGTTTTGGCGGCCAGTCTTAATTTGTTTAGGTAGAAGGATCTGCTAAAAAAACCGATGCCGGCAGCGACAAAAACTGCGGGGAACTATGCAAAAAGCGCATCGTTGCACGGATAGCCCGTCCGTTGGCCTATTTTTTAAAAATAGTTCTTTTTTAGTGCAACAATGAGTGGTTTCCCTAGCAGTAGAATTACTTTTTAGTTTTTGAATCAGACTGTTTCCTGCTAAATTTCATCTTTTTTCAGATGCGTTTAGAGCATAGAACAAACTGAACGTCTGGCTTGATTCCAAAGGGGTAGAGATTTACTACTGGCGCTGTGCGGGTTTAGGACGAGGAAGAAGCGACTGGGTGAATCATAGCTTTGAGCATTTGTAACGGCCAGAGTACTGCGAATTTCTGATGCGCATGCATTGGGCAGTGTGACCAATCGTTGAAGGATTATCAGAAGACGGAGAGTTTGTGTCTTATAAAAATGAACATGAACAGAATTAGACCTAAAAATAAAAAAAAGAACAGAGCTGTTAAGCGAGCCAGTAACTCATTTACTTAATATTCCTTGTTATAGAGGTGGTCCACAGGCCAAAAAGGAGGAGGCAACCACAAAAAAAGAAGGACCAGCAAAGAAAGAAGAGGTAACGGTAAAAAAGGACGAAGTTCCCGCAAAGGAGGAATCCTCGGTAAAGAAGCCAGTGCCAACAAAAGAGGACGAAGTTCCCGTAAAGGAGGAGTCCAAGGAAGAATCTTTAGTGAAAAAGCCAGTACCGGCAAAAAAGGACGAAGTCCCCGAAAAGGAAGAAGCCATGGTAAAGAAGCAAGAACCGGCAAAAGAGGACGAAGCCCCTGTAAAGGAGGAACCCTTGGCAACGAAGCCAGAACCAGCAAAAGAAGACGAAGCGCTCGTAAAGGAGGAATCTTCGATAAAGAAGCCAGAACCGGCAAAAGACGACGAAGCCCCCGAAAAAGAGGAATCCTCGGTAAAGAAGCCGGGACCGACAAAAGAGGACGAAGCCCCCGAAAGGGAGGAACCCTCGGTGAAGAAGCCAGTAGCTGCTGAAGAAGCAACCACTAAACCGGAACCGCCGGCGGAATCTTCACCGGAAGAGTCTTCACCGCCTGACCACTCCTTACCGGTGATAGAATATAGCTTCGTGATGATGCAGGGCAAAGGTTCGGCCGAGTACGTCCCAACAGAAGCAGCAAGTGCTCACAAAGGGTTGAACTCAAATTCAGCGGTACCAGTACCGGCGTCAGCATCTACAACAACAGCCAAAAGCATCAGCGGCGAGAGTAGCTTGGGCAGCGCAGCTAGTCATTCATATGTGCTTGATGACGATGACGAGCCAATTATACTATCGGGGCCCGCATGCCAAGTGCTAGAAATTATCCAGAAGAAGGGAATATTTAAAAGTTTTGTCATATCTGAACACGACAAAGAGCTGATTCGGTTGTACTTCGCTAATAAAGCTGGAGCCCGAGAAAAGGAAGCGCACCGTGCAGCCCAAAAAGCCGTTGATTTAGCAATCACGAGGGTCAAGAGCGTCGGGCTCCCCGACAATCTTCATGATTTCCTCTCTGTGAATCGGAACAACGCAGTCGGCTTGATGATGGACGCAATGAAATATCGGAAGAAGGACTTTTTGCCCGACTTCTGGGACCTGGAGCGGACAACGAAAAAATAACGCGGTTGTCATCCTTCACTCAATCAACCACTCCGCCACTCATTGCGTCCATCCATCGCTGCACGTCCGTCGAGCGCGAAAATCGGTTCGGTAGAGGGCGCGAAGTACAACCGATCATGCCTTACTGATATCAGTGCCGTTTAACAATCAAGTGCTGCTGAATAAACCTAACAATTTAAGCTGTGCTGTTCTAATACGTGAAAAAAAGTCTGCAGAAATGAGCATGTAAAATAGGCATTGTAAAACTGAGGCGTACATAACTCACACAGGCCCATAACCCTTCCAACACACAGTTCTGAAGACAGGATTTGGGGGCAGGGTAGAGAAGGGGGACAAGAACACAAGTCAGGGTTTCGAGGCAAGAATTGGAGATAGTAGTAAAGGGAAAAGGAAAATATAGCATTACATAGAAAAGTAAAGCAAACCTCAGATTACGAATAAAAGCGAAAAAAAAGCAAAAACAAAGAATAACATCACCTATGAATACCCAGGCTGGAACGCACCGGACGGGCCCGTGCGATCATGCGTTTTTGCACAGGACTTGAAG